GAAATTGCATTGAATGCTTTGCGGGCAAATTTATTTCTATTGGTGCCGTTGCAAAGTTGCCAGAATGTGAGGCTATGAGCCCTACCAGCGATTGGTTCACCCTCCTGATGTCCGTGCCGAGCTGAGTGTCGTCCTAGCTCTACTTTCCACTGGACGCCCAGCTGGTAAAGAAAAACCTCTGGCCGTATACTGCTTCATGTCTGCTGCACTAGGAGTAAGACTGATGATTTCTTTGAGTCAGTTTCAATGCTAGAAGGGTAAGTTAGACTCAGAGTATTCTGGTTGTAAAGTTGCCCAAAGACTTTCCGTGCATCTACCGAAACCGGTCTTTCTGTCGTAGAGTCTACAACAGCCGCGACTGTCCCCTTTCATTCAGCCACTTTCAGCCCTTGCGTTAGGCTTTGATGGCTTGCCCATGTCAGCGTCGCAGACGTGAGCGCCTCACATCCTGTTTTCTTTGCGGAAGACGTGCGTAGGGTCTTCCCATGGCATGCGTTCATTCATATTTGCTCAAAAAGGTGCCCTGGAGATGATGGTTCTTCGTCTCCGAAAGTTTCCCTCACTCATTGCTTTTTGTTTAGATCGATGTCATTCAATGTCAATGGATGGACTATACTGTAGCAGCTATGCTCAGCTTTCTTCTGCACATTTCACCTGAGCTTCCTAGGACCCAGGGCTGTCCTGGGTGTTGACATGTTTTGACTGTTTTGCCTCAGGCGCTGGACCCGCAGTATTTCTCAAAAGTCCCCAAGCCTCTTTGTCATCGAGGAGTGCTGCAACAGTTGGGTTGAGTGACACCTAGATGTTTTTTCAATGCCATTTGGTTCGATGTGGCTGGGTTCAACAACGTGGACTTTGCCAAGAAACAGTAGGCTCGCGAGAAAAGCGACGTTGCGCCAATTTGCAAGTCCGAGTCTTCACATCATGGGTTCAACGAGAGAGAAAAAATAAAGATGTCATATTTCTCCTTTTCCTCCAAGTCTGTTAGGAGTTCCTCAGTGTGGAGGAATGTCAAGCCTTGCTCGATTTGTTGAAGGAGACGCCAAGCCTGTCTCTCAGTGTTGCCCCTAGCGTCCTTGCTCCTAGTAGTATGGCCAGGAGCCCATAGTAGCATCCTTGCTCCTATTAGTAAGGCCAGCAGCCCCTAGTAGCATCCTTGCGAACGAGATGTGTAATGATGTGTGCACGACAGCCACTAAATGGTGGATTAGTCAGCCTGACCTGCCTGCGTGTGCATGTGCATGGTGAGGCTTCAAGATCTTCAAGGAAGGTGGTATGGCAAGACACTGGGTCCAGGACTTGGAGGAAGTCTGGATGGAAGCACAGGGTCACAGGATGTCACGGGGCCTTCTGAATGATGAGTGGGATGTCCATCAGAAAGTTAGTTGGTGGTTTTGCCCAAAGGCCCTAGGCAGAAGCCTGTGTCACGCTATGTCACCTTTCGATTTTGCCGTGCTTACTGTTCTTGCGTGAACCAGGGGAACATCCTTCGGTGCCCATTTGTTCCATTTGCATCCATTTGTTCAGGATATGAACGAAAATGGAGCAAAGTCTGAAGGACCAACTGAGCCCTCGCAAACGGGGAAGGATACCAAACAAGTCAACTGGGAAGCGGCCCAAACCTCCCATGCAAAACTTGGAAGAGAGGGCAATGTAAGATGCCTTTGCGAAAGGCAACACACACGCACACCAAAAACAAAAAACAAATGGAGTGTTTTAGCACAGAATGCAGCGCGCGAAAGCCAAAACACAAGCCGCGAACGTGTTGCGAAAGTAACTTGCACAAGAAGCGCAAGAAGAGTCCAGTAGAACATATTAGAACATGGTTGAACCCATTCTTTCCTTTGAACGACGTTCACCTGACCATCCTTGCAGGTTGACAAAGAGGTGCAACGTCGACTTGAGAAGATCATCAAGCGCCAAGACCTCAAACATCATTGTTCGGTGCTGCTTTTTCGGTCGATGTTTGTGCACCCTTTTTAAGGACTGCGTAGGTATAAGTAGCACCAAAAGAAGCATGACCCACCGACCCGGTTTTCTGATTTTCATGTTTACGTTATTGGATGTTGTATGATATTGTTCATGCTGAGGCATGCATACAGCTGTCCTCATGCCGGAGGCCAGCAGCGAGCCCCTTCAGATTGGTTTCTATGAGCGCCAACCTTAGCTTCCGCTCAAGGAGAAGACATGTACATTAGTAACATGCAGCAACTCAGTAGTACAGAGCCCAATTCTTGGCTGGATTCCCGGGTTTGAACAAAGTTCCTATTCCGCAACTCTTCATTCTTCTGAAACTTTTCTTCCGCTACTATTTCGTACTCTTCCGCAATTACTCTTCAGAAACTATTTCGCGATCTTCAGAAACTTATTACTGTATGTGCATGCTTTGAACATATTCTTCAGAACCTTTACAATATTGTAACCAAATTGCATGAAGGAGCACTGGGTGGGTGGGGACTGGGGGGTGGGTGGGTGGGTGGGTTATTGACGTACCTTGTGACTGCTACACTGCTACGGTATATAGTATATACAGATTATTACAGATGCCCATTTTACTATTTGCGGAAACTTTTTCGTGCGGGCTCGATGTTGCTCTTCGACTCTTCGTAGTTTCCAAACATTAGTTTCTGAAGAAAACCGTCAGGTTTCCGAAGAATAGTTTCCGAAGAAAACCTTAAAGTTTCCGAAGATCACTTTTGAGCTGTCGAAGATTAGTTTCCACAGAAAAGTTTCCGAAGAAAACCGTAAAGTGTCCGAAGAAAACTGCGTAGTTTCCGAAGATTAGTTTCCGAAGAAAACCATAAAGTGTCCGAAGATCACCTTTTAGTTTCCGAATAAAACTTTGACCCCCGGGTTTCAAGTGGAGGAAATAAGGACATGATGCTCGCCATGCCGTTCGTCAGTAACGACTGCCTAGTGATGCCACAGTCACATTTGTGGATTCGGTAGTGAAGAAGTGCATTCGAACGAACGTACGGTTTTGGGTGTTGGGTTCGCTCCTGAGAGCGTCGGTTTGCGAGGGCCTTTAGCCATTCAAGGCCTGGGAGCTCTCAAGGCATGGACCTCGGTGACATTCTGTAAGGGCAGGATCCGGATCGTAGGGTGGACCACGCGCTTTTCTATTCTTTACTTTCTTAGTCTACGGCATGCCCTATGCGTTTGTCCAACATCAATTTTATCTGGTGAACGAGATAGGGCCCCCACAGAAGCGAGATACTTGTTTGATGGCACTGAAGTAGTCTGAACGAGATACTATGACGTGACCTCCTACTTCAGTAGTCTAAATGAGATAGGGCCTTACACAATAGATTGATTGTGTATTTGAGTTTAGTCATGCATAAACTATAAATGCCGTTTCTTTATTTATTTGCTTATTTATTTGCCTAGTTCTTTTGGAGGGGAGGCCGTCAGTGGCGGTGAAGAGGAAGAGGAAGGTACTTGTAAGAAAAAGTTGGTAGACTTCAGTAGCTACCAGTAGGGACGCAGAAGGGCTCGGGATATTCGCTTTGAAACTTTGCTTGAGCCATGATCAGCTGCTCAGGTTTCCATTTCGATAGCCCAAAGGATGAGCCAAATCCTCGCCTTTGGACCGTCATAGTGTACCTTTGACGAGCATGGGTCTGCGTGTTCCAGAGGCACCTAAACTGACAGAAGGGGAGACGAGAAGCCATCAACACCCACAACCCCCATCTACGGTGGAAGATGTGGAAGAATATGGAAGAATCATCATGAATCGCCAGGTATTTGGATGGAGATGGCAGCTTGGGTGACAACGCCGAAGGTGCTTCGTTTGTGCTGTTGGACGCTGTTTTGCTATCTTGACTCGAATGTAACAGGGATGCATATAAATGTTGCCTTACACTTGCCCTCACTACTACTTACTGTAATTAAAAGTCTCAAAGATCTCAAAGCTGGTCATCTAGGGGCCATCTAGACACTTCGTACTAATGTTGCAGAGCCCCTCTTAAGAAAACACATGAAAACACCCTTTTGACTTCATGTTGCTCTAGGAGCAACCATCTTCCCAAGTGGCTGGTGCAGGCCCTCGGGCTGTGCAGTTGTTTTGACACGAGTCGGCGAATATGTTTGCGATCCCATTTTAGAGGAAGGCCCATTTTAGAGGAAGGATGTGTGCGCACATCGGTTTTGATGTGAGTTGCCACGTGTCGATGTTTGTCAAGCATGATTCAATCAACCATGTTCAAGTAAAAGTGCATGAGCATGAAAGAAACAAGCTGTCATCTCGGCAACATAGTGTTTCAAACCCCTGCAACACGCCACCCCGGCGCTTTCGACTCACTAGCTAGCTGTGCTGCAAAGTTTTTCGTGCAGGTTCAGCTTGGAGGAATGTTGCAGACTTGGTGCGTGCATGGCCAAGATATCCATGCAAAGGTCAAGCCGCAAGCCATTTCCTCCCACTATGCTTACAGAGAAAGGCCCAAGGTCCGGTTCGTCCCAATGATGGCTTATTATGCGGAGCATTGTTAGATAGATCTGGTGGAATGTAAGAGCTGGCTGAGTACAGAGAATCCATTTTCCTAGGAAGCAGATCCACCAGGCGAGGAGCACCGCCGCACGCCGTGCCACGGCCCTTGAGTCATTGAGAGAGGGTTGTTTAAAGACCTTGTTTTGGAAGTCAAGCTGGTATGCGCACAATGGTCCGTCAGGTGAAATGGTGCAAACGCAGGTTTGAGAACAGTGTGCCTCCAATGTCCATTAATTCATCCTCAATCATAGGCATTAATTTCCATGGGGTGCTATCTATTCGAACAGTTTCGAGAAGCCCTTCAGCTGTCGGAGCCTCATCATTGTTTGGCTCGGATGCCCTGCTGTTCAGCATTTTTAGAAGAGACATACGACTCATTATGACAAAATGCCTTGACCAACACAGAAACTAAGATGGGGAAAGTGGAAAGTGTTCCTCCAGGCCCCCGTGCTCAAGATGTTCGATTCAGACAAAGTGCATACAAAAGCAAACTCAGCCGGCCGAGTGGGGCTTGCCATTTGTTGCCATAGCTTCAAAACTCGATGTACATAGCTTTTGCTTGAAACTCCCGATGGAGCCCTTGCAGCAGCACCATGGGAGTTCAAGGCATCTGATTCTGTGCATCCTTCATGTGCCTTGTTGATCTTGTTGTGGCACTGAAGTGCCACTGTATGTGCCTGCCATTTGGCGAGTGCAGATGCGCGAGGTCTTTGGGATTTAGCTTCGCCTGCCGGGCAAAGAGTGAACTTCTCCGCCTTGGAAAACAAAGTGGTGGCAGTCGATGTTGCTTGGCCCAAGTGTCGACCCTCGTGACTATGCCATCCTCGAAGCCTTCATAAGTTTCCCTCGACATTTTTCAACACTAGGACTAGGAGCATAGTAACGCAGTAGTCAGCAATGTTGTGAACACTTGCAACCAACTGCAGGCAAGCATTTGGATGTACCATTTCCTGTGGCTTGAATTGCACATCAGAATTTTCTTTTCATGCTCCCGAACGGCAAATTCCATCACTTGTTCTCCGATCCAGAAGCCGTCCAGCAAGCTGTCAACCATTTTGAAGTTGGGTCGGGGACTTTGAAGCAACTGTTGGCTGAAAAACACGTTTCTAAAGCTGCCTGCAACATGTCTGAGGAAAGCCATGCGAGACGACAAAGGCCCAAGAAACAGTCCCGCTTCACGAAGAAAGAGCGGCGAGTGCAGGTAAAGGTCTTGGGCAAGGAAGGCAGTTTCCCATGAGGAATCGTTTCATACAGTAAGGAAGCTACTGCCTCAGTTTCCTAAACATTGGCGAACCAAATCAATCATATCAATCATTCTGCGGGGGCTCTCCAATGCCAAAAAAAGGTGGCCCAAGCAGAGAACACGTCCAAGCAGAAGAAACGTGAGAAGAGAGTACGTCCAGCAGCCGATGGAAGTGCTACTACTGAAGATACTACTTGCACCTTACACCTCAAGAAAAAGACACGTCCTAATTACAGCTCCAGAGGGCCAATTTCTCTCTCTTCTTCGGCCTCTTTCTCCCCCTCCTAATTACCTTGGAAAGAATATGAAGGACATGATGATGCAGACATGAGACGCCGTATTTCCTCCAAAAAGTCGCCACTGCTAGTCCAAAGGGCTGATTTGCAATCCCACGATAGTGCTGTTTGATGTTGGCAGGTGACATGGTGAAGGGTGCCCATTTGATTGGCTTCTTTCGGAGGATCTGCAAGCTGCCTTTTGGCCTACTCAGAACAACCTTTTGAACTACATGCCACATGAGGAGCCAGCAAGTGGTGTGCCGGTCAAGGCAAGAAAACAACATAGACATATGCATTGTGTAGCCAATACTATCATATTGCTAGTCTCGCGGCTTAGCACAGAATATTCTAGTCTCCCTGCCCTCGTTCTCGATTCAGTGTTTGGTTGTGTTCACTTGATGCTTCCTGACATGTCGCAATTGATGGCGTTGAGTCGAGTCCTTTATGCTTGAGTCCCACATATCCCCACCAAGTAGTAGACCGAGGTTGTACCTGAAGATCCGACCAGTGTCCAAGCAGCAAGTCAACCGGGCCGCATTCGCTTTGAGTAGAGGGATTGCCCACTAAACCATGGAGCATGGGTATCGTGCTTTTGTTGGTGGGTGCCGCTGGGTCTTGCAGGTAATTGCTGAGGAGGAAGTTCAGCTGAAGAGTTTTCTACATGTCAATGTTTCTACGAATTTTCCGGGTGTTCAGACTTGTAAAGCTTGTCCACTGCTGCAACTATATACTGTAGAAGAAAATGATAGATGGCAGACAGTCGAAGGGCAAGATAGTGCGAAAATCGTGAGGTTTGTGTCAAGATCGCGATTGACACCAAACATCAGGCATTCACAGTACCCCATTTACCCTGTGCACGGCTCTCTCGTGAAGGGTCCAAAATTGAAAGGACCGGACTGTCTATGAGTTTGCAACTGTCTCCTTGACATGCCCAGTGACATGCCCCCCGTGCAATTGCCTCAGGTCTTCGTTTTCGATGGCCCACCGCCAGCATTGAAGCACCTTACCTTTGATGAGCGAAACGGAAAGATTCGAGAATGTGTGTTGGCACGGCAGGTCCCTATCTTGATGTTGTGTTTTTTTCGTCCTTGTTTTGGAAGAGTGGGTAGGAGGAAAGTAAGTAGCTGGAAACTAGGGAGTTGGTGGTACTCACGAAGTGATCTAGGAACGCGCAGCAAGGAACCTTGCTGCAGGGAAGAGCTGATAAATTTTCTGGCGGAAATCTACGAGGACGCGGCAACTCATGAAATGTCCTGCGGTTCTGTGCAGTCCAGGTGGAAGACCCTGCAGCTGCGTGCCAAGCAGAGGGACTCGGAGGAGCGGCAAAGGCGCAAAGCTGTGCCTTGGCAGTTTCATGTTTGTTCCATCATTGAGTCATATTGAGTCCTATTACTGGAGGTTGGAGGCCATCGATATTAATTAAGTCTTTGAAGATGGGGCGATTCACGTAGCTTGCGTTTCAACCACTTGCTGCACTTCTACCATGGCTTTACATAGCTGAGCTCGACCCATACACAACGCCATGACCTTGTGTGTTTCGATACCCCCAAACGCATTCATTGCGATTCTCCAACCTCAAGCCATGTCCTTTTTCCAGCTCTTTAGCTTGCAGGTGCAAAAATGAGGAATGCTGAGATGATTGTGAAACCAATGTCCGCGACTTGGGCCATCCTTCAGGTGGAACGCCTCTTGCGGAACCAACTGCAGCAGCACCTCCTTCAAGCGGCCTCTGCTGCACAACCAGGTGCAGAGGCACCGGCCGAGGCACACGCAGCCAGAGGGACACTGGTGAGGACACTGCTCATGATGCTGATCATGGTCAATCAAATTCAATCAATCAAGGACAAGTTCGTGCGTAGCAGATCTTGCTAGTGAGAAGTTGTCCCTTGAAAGGCAGCGGACGCAACGAGGGCTGCAGACGAGGATCTCCACGCCACTGAGGAGGACACAAAAGCTGTCAGCAGCCAGGTTACAGACACTCATAGAAACTCAGTCCTGGCTTTGTCATGAACTCCACCAGCAGGAAGGACAATCCTAGGTCCTAGACGCCTAGAGACCTATTTTACCACCCTCATGGTGGGTAAGCGCCTCCCCTCGCAGTTGCGGCATTCTCCCTGGCAGAGAGGCAGCTCAAGATGCAGCGAGAGAGGATGATGACCCTCCGGACGCTGAAGAGGATGGGACGTTGGAAAATGCGAAAGCCACTAGACCTAGACCTCTTGAAAACCAGCAAAATGAACCAGCAAGGCTGCGGTTCCAGAATTGAAGTGGAATTTGTCCAAGTCAGTGTAAGACTCTTCGAAATGTCAGGAGTCTGTCGAGGAAGCACTACCAGCATCCTCTTCCAGATCTCGTGCCTTGGCCGAAGCCTTCACACCTGCTTCGCAATATGGGAGGGTGCAGAAGAAGCTTTAGCGGGGAACCTTTCTGTCAGGGCGAACCAGGCAATAGAGGCAGGTCACATTCTACATACATCATGCTCCAAATTCTCCACGACATGTCGCGCTTGTGGATACTCTTCACATTCCGCTTTTCGCCTTGGTTAGGGCCTCAGCTCTGAAATCCCAAAAAGCACGGGCCCGGCTTTAGGAAGAGCACAAGGATGCACGGAGAAGCAAACTGTTCCTTAGTACCCGGCACGCTTGCCTTGAAGAAGAAGACCTCATTCCTTTCTTTGGATCAAGGATCATAGATTATCATTGATGATCATGGATGATCCATACGATCCATGACATCATCCGAATCCATCCCTCCAAGGCCGCCGCAACGGAGTGCCCGTGGCCTTCCGTGGCTTCATGGCGCAGCGCCGGGGCATCTCCCAGGTGCAGGTGCCGGAGCTCCCATCGGAGCCACTGAGAGAGATTCTGCCGGGAGACTCAGTGGTGGGTTTGGCAAGAATTATTCGATTTGTGAACCAATGGCAGCAGTTGAGGACTGAAACCAATGTCCATCAATCACCATGCCATGAAAGATGGTGTGAGTCATTCCTAAGCTCGTCAACGATGCTGCTGGTGGCAGCTGCGCATTCATCACCTTTGGCAATGAGGAGCAAGCTCGCACGCTCCAGATTGTTGAAAAAAGAAGTCCGGTGTGCGTTTTTCTTTTCTCAGGGTTCCAGGCCTTACCCAAACTTGCAAGACGACTCCCATTTATTTATTATACTGTTAGTTGCTCCGCCGTTGCCCTAGGAACGTTCCAAACCGCCGCCCTCATGGTCGAATGAGACCGCCAGACGAATGGAAGGCGCATAACTACAGGTGTTGTGGGAGTTGCCATCGGCGAAAGAGCTTGTTGGATTGGGGCTACATTGTGGGCTTTGAGTTGCGGGATGTTGCACGTGCTTTCATCCACAGGTGTCTCTTGGTCTTTGTGTGTGTGTGTTCGGGGGGGGGCCTGGAGTTGTGGAGTCATGGGTCACAGGCAGGCATGGAAAGAGGATGAATGGAAGACCTGGACAGTGTTCCTTTCCCGATGATGTGCGCCATGGCAGGGATACAGCATACCTGGCGGGGGCATGGTAACAGTGCCTCTCGACGGCCCAGTGCGATTGGAGGAGCTTGGGACCAATCAATCGCAAGTCAACGAAGACGATGAGTGCAAAGAATCCAGACACGAGTAATTATGCAGAGCCAGCTGGAGGTTGGCGGTTAGCTAGCCTGCTAGTCCAAAATTGTTTTTTTAACATGCAATGTAGTTCTCGTATTTGGGGATGATTGCTCATTCTCACCACTGAGACTGTAATGTTGTCCCCATGTGTGTGTGTGTGTTTCAGTTTTCACACAGCATGCCTTCCCTGGCCTACAGAAGTGTTCTTGTCAGTGATTCGGAGCTCTTGGATTTAGGAGATTTCTTTCGGTTCTCGTCAGGAATTTGAGCAGCTGGATCCGAAGACCAAGTACTTGCTGCTGCAGCGTGCGCAGGAGGTGTGGGAGAATCCGTTTTTTTGGTTGGTCGCAAAAGCCTTGAGATCAACATCCGTCTCATGCAGGGACAATGACGCTATTAGGTGCAGGCCATCGCAAGCAGGTTGGAGGCCATCGCTACTAGGAAGAAGAAGCTACTAGTAGGTGGAGGCCATTCCTATTAGGTTTCTTTTTGCTACCAGCAAGAAGCTAGTAGCAAGGAGGCAAAACACTGTCGCCGCCTCAAATCGCCTGAAGAGGCATGGTTTGGCGAGTCGCGCCTGAAAGCCGTCGAGGCCAAAGACGACATGGGTGCCTTTGTGAATGCCGCTGGGCTGAGAGGGACAGAAGGACAGAAGGAGATGGAATAGCAGGATGTAGCTGGCATGGTGCGACGCAGAGAGAGAGAGAGAGAGTAGCGTTCTTGCTCCTAGTAGCGATGCCAGGAGCCCCTAGTAGCTTCTTGTTACTAGAGATGTGTGGAAATTTGCACGGTTTCAGAGTGAGATGCATGTTTTGTCGTTTTTGCCTGACCTCTTTCACTGGGTGCATTGGAGCAGCGAAGCGCCAACTTCATGTATATATACATGGAAAAGGCTGCTACTGTAATTTGATGTAATTTGGCCTCATGTTTTTTGTCTCACTAGAGGTGCAGCTTGAGATGTTCTTGCTCTTTGTCAGCAGCAAGTGACTATTTGCGATGGCTGATTTTTTTTGTTGGGTCTGCTGTAGTTTTTGAATAGAGTCATCCACGCGAATGCGTTAGTTGCCCTCATTGTATATATGACCATATGATGAATCCATTCGGTCCGTCAGTTTTTTTTCGTTCAACTGCTGAATCCCGGCAATTCGCCATTAAGAGCCGCAGGCGGCACATTCGAACCAACAAGGAGATTGAGAAGGTAAAGCCACTGAGCCTGAAAATCCTCCAAGAGACTCTGGATTCTTGAAAAAAAATGTTGTTCTGCAAAACATTCATTGGTGAGTGATTTCATCCCGTCTAAACCTTGGCCTTCACAGAAAAAGCTTGGTCATGAAGCAAGTTCCCAATCACACGCGTTGTGCACGATCGACCACGCGTTGGCTCCACAAATCTTGTGCCGGGGCTTTTGGACTTAGGCGGAGCATGGCTGAGCAAGCCTCCCGTCCAGCGGGTGACTTGGGTGAAATGGCTGAGTCCCCCGCGATGGACGAATCGTAGGCAGCAGCAGCAGCACAAGCAGCAGCAGCGGGAGGAGTATTAGTAGTAGTAGTAGCAGCAGTAGTAGCAACTTGCTGCATCCATTCCACAAGACATACCAAGACGAGCTTTGTAGCAAGGTGTAGTTAAATGATGGATGCTTTGAGTGCTTTCGAGTTTGTGTCAATTGGCTCATGTGGAACCTGGCTTTTGCATGTCACCATGACCAAATACATGATCGATTATGGCCAGAAAGACGACTAGTGACTAGAAGATACTAGAAGTCCTCAGTCAGGGGTGCCAATTGACTGGCACCACCACAAAGGCGATGAGCTGGCAGATGGGGAAGTCTATCGTGCACCAAGCTTCCTTCAGGCGGTGGTCTTTTGCCAATATGAAGACATATGAAGACGATCCTTTGAGAATCTGAGACACAAACACAGCCTGACGGGACCATTCAACTGGCAATTATAAAGACGCTCAACAGACTTGATGATTGCCCAGGATCATCCAGGATCCAAATCAGAGCCAATTACTTCTGTTTGGGGCTTGTATGATGCCATCCATATACAGTACTGTCCATTCTTTTGTGTTGGCTGTGGTCTGAAGATAGCTCTTGCTCAGGCTGAGCGGGAGCAACCACAAGCATCACAAGCCGTGGAAGAGTTTGGCCAGGCAGCGTATTCGCTTTTACCTGAGCGAGGGAATGTAAACCGGCACAAGGAGGACGCACTTGTCCCATGAACTTCCCATCAACCACATTCACCTATTTACATCTATTTACTTACTTAGGCCCCCTGCACGGTGCCTTTGGGTAATACAGCGCACATTGGAGATTTGTCAAATTAGACTTCACGCCCCAACCTTACTTGTCGTTCAAAGACTTGGTACAAGCTACACATCTATCTATGCAGGAGTACATGTGCAAATTCTATATTTCTCTTGGAATTCGAAAGATATCAGCTCAATCTTATCTCAGTGCGAGGTGGAGAGCGTCATCGGCAACAAGGGGAAGGGAAAGCGTGGCCGACGGTCCAAGCGCCCGCGCCAGCTGGCCAACGAGCCCACCCGATGGCAGCCACTCTCGGGAGTGGGTGGCTTGGAAGCAGGTGAAGCATGGTGAAATATGTTGAAACCATTGCTATTAGGTTTGTTGCTTTGGCATTTGCCTGGGGGTTCAGCAGGGTGGACCCTGTACTGACTTGCTGCTATGCATTTTGTTTGAAGTCTTTTCACCTATTCCCAATTCTCACCTCATTTGATATCAAGAGAACATTGGAGTAGGACTGGGTACTTGTGCTGTGAGGCATAAAGAGAAACTCCGATCCAATGGTTTGGTTCAGCGAGGCCAGTGCAGTCGAGTTCGGAGTGCAAACTCACTTCCGCAACCCGTCAGCCGTAAGCATGCCTCCATCATGAGTATCTAAGATGCGGCAAGTTTGAACAGTTGGTTTTGACCTTTTCACCTGTGTCAGGCCCAAGATGAGGCAGAAAGTCATTCAGAAGAAAGCCACAGCCCCAAGGTGCTGGTAAAGAGTTGTTGGAAAGCAGCGTTGTAAAGATATGTTTGGCTAACCAGTAGCTTTAACATCACCAACTCCTCACTTGATAAAATATCCTGGCTTTGCATCTGAAAGGAAAGCGATAAGAAAAAACAAGTAAAATATGTTCATGAATATTCACAAAAAATTCGTGTATCTTGTGTGATTCACTCGTTCACCGACGGGAGAGGCAAAGCCACAAGAGGTTGAGACGGCAGAGGACTTGTTTGGCAACGAGTTCTTCGAGGCTGAGGAGGTGCGACCGGGGGCGTCAGGTGGCTTCAGTGGGGGGATATCAGGATATCATCGGATGATATTGGATGGGATATTCCAATGCTTTTCTGCAAGATACCGCTTTCTGATGTTTGTATCCAACCGACTGCATGCGAGTATGCACATCCACCGCGCAAGCGATGTCGAGGCTGCAAAGAGACGGAAAGTGCCAGAGCCGGAGGTGTTTCAGGTGAGGGCGTACGATTGGCAGAGGGCAGGATGGAGGGACACGGGTGGTTTTGTCACCCTGGCTGTCAGAGATGTTTGGAAAGCTGCTTGGCACAACAGTTTCAAGATTGGAAAGATAATCCTGCACAGTGATCCCCAAATAGATAGAAACGGTTTCCAATACATGTTTAGTGGGGATCCACTTTTCCGGTCTATGTATGCGATTCCAATAATATGGTTAGAGCCTTATCGGTCTTATGATTTGATCGGATCGTTCTATCTATGGTTCCGATGCACCGGCCAAAGGTTCATGCACCATCAGCAACAACCACTGACAGCTTGATGGATGACTCTCTTGCAGAAGTCGCGGTCGCAGACTTTCCATGATTTTGGTGCCTCTGCCATTTTTGAATCGCATCTTATCTTATGTGTTCTAAACATTGTGAGGCTTTCTCACCACATCCTTCGTCTCCTCTCAGTGACGGCGCAGTCTTCGCTGCAGGGTTCCAAGGCATGAAAATCTTGACCAGCTCATCCTGTGAGTTCTTAGAGTCAGACCTTTCTTCCTTTTTTTTCTCCCTTTATTAGCGATGGCCTCCAACCTAAGGACATCGGAGAAGAAGACTTGGCACCGCCCTCCCCCTCATTTGACACAGCAATGGCACAGGTCTCAGCGGTTTTACCACTGAACAGACATGGAATGGAAGTCACCGCGTAAAATGTTGAGATGAATGAAGCTACCCATCGACACCGGTAGTTGACAATATGGAGAGCGGCAACGCCTCCTAAACACATTGGATGCCGCTTGGCGTGCTGGAGGATGAAGTTGAAGCAGTGGAGGTGTTCAGTCCAAAGCGGCAACCTCCCAGTGCTCTCGCGGCAGCAGCTTCGACGGAAGTAGGCATCTTAATACAATTATCCCACCACTCACAGCCAAAAGGAATGCATCAGGATCAAAAAAAAACTTGATCAAAAAGAAAAAAGAACAGGATCCATTGAAAACAAGAACAGTATCAACCAAAAAATAATCCTGACTAGGTCCCCTGGTCCTTAGGTCCCCTGGTCCTTCGGTCCGCTGGTCCTTTGGTCCTCTGGTCTGTTGGTTGCCTGGGCGTTCGGTCTCCTGGTCCGCTGGCACATAGACCTAGTAGTTTGGTCTCCTAGTCCGCTGGTCTTATGGTCCTTCAGCCTTGGTAGCTCCCTGGTAGAGAGATAGCGTCCCAGTAAGGTGCTAGCTCACTGGTAGAATATTTCCCAGTAGGGGGATAGCGCTGTCTATACTTGATTTGCATTGCGGGGGAGGCGCTGCGCCCTCCCCCACACCCCCTCCCGCTTTTTTACAGTACCTCCAACACTCCGACCACCCCACTACCAGTCTTACCAAAGGCGCCACAACTACTACTTATCCTCTTTGCGTTGACACTGCCACGAAAGTGGATGATAAGGCCCACCTTCGCTTAGCTGCGCCAGCGCCACAAAGGTGAATGAAAGTGCAGGCTCAGCTCTGACAACCTCACAAGGTTGGATGATAAGACCTTCACCTTGAGCTGTGACACCCAATTAAACCGATCAAGAAACGAAGCAGCCCAGCGCTGTCTATACTTGATTTGCATTGAGGGGTCCTCTACCCCTACTATTACCAGTACCTCTATCACTCCGACCACCCCAATACGAGTCCTGCCACAGTTACCACAACTACTATCTTCTTTGCGTTGGCGCTGCCACAAAGGTGGGGCATAAGGCCCACGTTCGCCTTGCGTGACAGCCAGGAACCTTCGCTGAGTAGGAAGCGCTGTCCCCTACCCCTATTTCTTCCAGTACCTGTATTACTTCAACTACTGTACTTTTTCTACTACCGCTACTACTACTACTACTACTACTACTACTACTACTACTACTACCAGTACCACTACCACTACCACTACCACTACCACTACCACTACACTACTATTACTACTGCTGCTACCACTGCCGCTACCACTACTACTACTACTACTACCACTACTTCTACTTTTCCGTCTACTTCTAACTTCTAACTTCTACTTCTGGCTTCTACTTCTAACTTCTACTTCTACTTCTACGTGTACTTCTCTTTCTACATCTACTTCTGCCAGTACTAGTACTAGTACTACTTGTACTACTAATACTACTTGTACTACTGGTGCTACTACTGCTACTACTACTGCTGCTGCTACTACTACTGTTGTCCTTTCCCTTTTTTCGCTGTGAGTATGTTTTTGATCCTGTTCCTTTTTGATCCCTCATGAATATTTTGTTGATGCTGATCTTTTTGCCCAAAAGGAAGGTAGCTGCTCTTGTTTGCAGTTCCTTTTCTGCTGCGATGATGGAAGTCACATATTTAGACATTTTTGACGTGTATGTTGATGTTTGGGCTGCACTGCGCCAAGGACACCTTTGAGCCTGCCAATTTTCCCTCACCAGCAGGAGAGCCCACTGTTCCAGCTCAAGCCGTTTTTGTGCAAGTGCTGCTCCCAGACTTGCGTGGAGTTCCGGTCGCGAGTAGGCATCTCAATGCACCACTCACAGCAAAAAGGAAGATAGTTGCTTTTATGATGTTTGGCTTGCACTGCACCAAGGACACGTTTGAGCCTGCCAATTTCCCCTCACCAGAAAGAGAACCCGCTGTTCCAGCTCAAGCAGCTTTTGTGGAAGTGCTGTTCTCAGGTTTGCGTGGATTTCTAGTCACGAATAAGGCAGTATGCATCTCAATACAATGATCGCACCACTCACAGCCAAAAGGAAGGTAGCTGCTCTTGCTCGCAGTTTCATTTTTGCCGCAATGATTGAAATCACACAGACATTATTTACTTAGATATTGATGTTGGGGCTGCACTGCGCCAAGGACACTTCTGAGCATGCCAATTTCCCCTCACCAGCAAGAGAGCTCACTGTTCCAGCTCAATCAGCTTCTGTGGAAGTACTGTTCCCAGACTTGCGTGGAGTTTTGGTCACGAGCAAAGCAGTAGGCATCTCAATACAATGATCGCACCACTCACAGCCAAAAGGAAGGTAGCATAAGGCTGCTCTTGTTTGCAGTTGGTTTTTTTTGGCTGCAATGATTGAAATCACATTATGATACTAATTAGACATTATTCACTTGTGTATTGATGTTTGGGCTGCACTGCGCCAAGGACACTTCTGAGCCTGCCAACTTCCCCTCACCAGAAAGAGAGCCCACTGTTCCAGCTCGTGCAGCTTTTGTGGAAGTGCTGCTCTCAGACTTGTGCGTGGATTTCTAGTCACGAGTAAAGAAGTAGGCATCTCAATACAAATGTCGCACAAGGAAGGTAGTTGCTCTTGTTTGCAGCTTGTTTTTGCCGCATTGACATTGATGTTTGGGGGGCACTGCACCGAGGACACGTCTGAGCGTGCCAATTTTCCCTCACCAGCAAGAAGAGAGCCCACCGTTTCAGCTCAAGCAGCTTGATTCTTTGCAAGTACTATTCCTAGACGTGTGTGGGTGTCTATTCTTTTTGGCCTTGACTCTCTTATAGTGAATAGCATCCCATGTTTGAATTTGTCGAGCCTGTGTTTGGGCCCCAAAAAACGTTGGAATTGCTTTCCGGTTTTGCGTGTGTGGTAGCGCGGTTGTGCCACCCGAGAAAGTGGAGGATCCATAATCCATTGCTACCAAGAGAGCTTACAAGCACGGAAACCAAATGTGTCTATCAATAGAGTTCCATCTTCAGCTGTTCGTTTGGTCCACTTCAGTCCCCTCTTGGGGTCCAGTGGCACACTTCAGCAGCTGCCATGGTCGACATGTCTAGGCCAAGACAGTGGCTGCGGCTGCTGCAGCTGCTGCGGCACCGGCGCCAAGACCATCAAGGTGCAGAACGCAGCTGCCTCTGAAGTTGTCTTCGGTCCACCGCTTCCGCTCCATGGAGCCTTCACAAAAGCTGCTCACAATACTCGGCATTTCCCGTGGGATGACAGCAGCGAAAACCTGCTCGTGGTAGCAATGGGTTGTCAAGTCCAATCGCTGAATACCTGGTTGCAAGTCGTAGTGATTTTCATGTTCCGTGATTCTCCTGCTTGAAGATGTTTGAAGCTTGGACTCGGAAATGCACCCATTTCAAACAATTCAGCCAAACGCACCATGGTAACAATCATTTTGAGTGTGAGGGCGTAGGGCCGCTGAACTTGGTCGTTGAACTCTCGCGTGACAGGAAGTGGACTTGCCGAGAGGGTGAAAATAAACATTGTGAAACATGTGACACACGGAGACACTCCTTATATAGCTGCTCCAGATCGTTTGCCCCCCCATACTGGTCACGCAGTGCTGTCAGCGCAGGTCTGATACAGAAGATCCATCGAAGAGTGTGTGCATCCCTCAGTGATGCGTCCACGACCTTGAGGTGTGCGGAGACATGTGAAACCTCAAGTGGCTCCCAAATCCGGATCTAAACATCTCTAAACTCTAATTAAACCACTTCAAAGTCCGCCTCAACCTGAGCCCGGATTACATGAGTTCACACCCTGTTCTAGGACGTAGTGGAGGTGATATTGCAAGCGATGCCACAAGCAAGATAAGCAAGGGAGCTAGCACTGGCTGAGACGTATCGCTCTGTGAGGGACCTCCCCACAGCGAACCCAGGTGGTGCAACACACACTTTCAATATCGATGGCGTTGTCATCAAGATGGTGTGGCGCATGTTTGCGACGCCCAGGAGCGGTAGAGTTGAGTAGATGTTGTTCTCCTTGGAAGCGACTCAATCTGGAAGATGAATGGAGCTCATTATCACGAAGCATGTGATGCTCAAGTTGGTGGCGACATACATGACAGTCAATGACAGTCAATGTAGCCAGGGCCTGCAGGGACAAGGGACTTCAGCACCTTCTGCACAGGGCTCTGGAGGTGCATCCTTTCGAGCCTTTTGAGTCTGAGTGTTCCAGCAAAGTGTTTTTCCAGTAGCATGTCTTTCAAGCTTTAACCAAGCTGTGGTCTGCTGTGTGTGTGTGTGTTCCATCAAGGACGAGGAAAAGGACGTGGGCATGGCCGCAACCGCGACCCACGTGGCGAAGAATCAGCTTTGGGAGACGAAGAGTTAGAGGATTCCATGCGGCGATGCGTCGCCACGCTCCATCCCTCTGTCGCAAACTAACTAACTGGGTTCCTTCCTCAGGGATAGCCCTAGTTGTAGCACTAATAGGGCGCGTGTGTTTCGTGCTCCTGAGAACGTTGTGCAACAGGCAAGAGTTTTTACAAACATTTGAGTCGTTTTGGTCATGGTTTCTCATGTCAAGACCAATCAACCGCACGGCTAGTGCGCACGAGGGGCGCGCACGTGGTCGAGGAGTTGGAATTTCAACGCCTGGCCGCAGAACTTGAAGACGAGCACCGTGACTTGCGTGCAGAGGTGAGGACAAATGTGGGGCAAAGCCGGGCAAAGTAGCGAAAATAGTAGCGAAATGACTCCGATAGTTGCCTGGCTCTTTGCGATTCTAAAGTTGCTGTGTTCAGAACACGTGGTATGCATGTTGATTCTCTCGGCCATGTTTCAACCGGCTGTTTTGCTTCATAAGTTTGCACCCAGCTCAGAGTGGTTTGCCACCTCGTGCCGTTTCCCACACCAGGCCCGCAGAGCCAAGAGGGGTGCTGATGTGGTGACCCCAGAGATGCAGGCCGATGCATCGGGAGAGGAGTAGACGGAGTGTCGATTGGCGTCAGTCCTTGAACGGAGGCCTTATTCAATGGGCCTTTATAGCTTCTTTTTTGAGCAAGCAGCCTGAGTGTTGAGGGTGGCAAGGGGGGAAGACTCACTTTTGTGAGCATTCTGCCAGTCATTGAGCCATAGATTATTCATATATCGTTTTGGGACACAAATGCTTAATGGCGTACTGGACCATACTAAGCCAATGGTATGTCTACTGTCTTGGTTTCCATCTTGGATCTACCAAGCGGCTTGGAAATTGGGGAATGAGCTTTGCAGGATGCTGCATGCTTATATAAAGGCACTATGAGGCTAATGTACTCCGTCCCCGCAGGCAGACGTCGAAGCTTTGCTGGAGGCGTTGGGAATTCCCTTCGTTCACGCCCCCGCAGAGGCGTGAGATGAGAGAGCTGAGAGCTTCATTTCTCTAAGCACTTGGATTTGCATAAGCTAGCATCAGATACCCTCCAGCCTAAGGGGATGAAAGAACTGTAACAAGTTGGACCTATACTTCTGAAGAGGTTCGGGTATCGGGTATTTGATTCCTTTTGTAACTCGATTCGGTTCTTTGTAATTTTCCAGGCCGAGGCGCAGTGTGCCTTTCTGGCCGAGGCTCAAGTTTCTTGGATCTCTCTCGCGTTCCCATGGCCAGGATGAAAGGTAGCAGAATTATACACTTGAGTTTTCTGTGCTTTGGCAAACATGTGCAAGTATGATCAAGTATGTATTGGAACAGGAGCGGCGCCTTTACCTGATCTTTGTGGTTCAAGATTTCCTGAATGATCTTGCTGGTTTGCCGCTGATGCCGCTGCTATTGCTGGTCTTTCTGTGTCTCATTGCGCCTCTTTTGCCCTGCTTTTTTCCTGCAGGGCATCGTCATGCATAGTCGCAACATCCCTTCAAGAATCATGATTGATCATGATTGTGTCTTGGGATATTTGGCTAGGCACACTTGGTGGATGCTGTGGCGTCGGACGACTCAGATGTTCTGGTCTTTGGTGCACGTGCGGGACCCCAGTAGTGTCAGTTGAAGACTCACGCAAGTTTTGAAGTGCTGACCTCCGGCCACACCAGAGACTTTCATGCCACTTTATATCAACAGCAGTACCAATAGCATTTCCACGGTACTTTTTTTGCATGTTGATTCAACTCACATCTCGTTCCAATGGGCGTCATGTTTGTCAACGTCCGCGCAGGCGAAGTGTATCGCCGGATGTTCTCTGAGGACGCAAGTGCGAGTGCAAAGCCACAAGTGCCTCAAGCGTTGTATTTTACAGAGTTGCGGGTCATAGATTCTCCGCGTTTTCCGGGATGTTGCGTTTCAAGAAGTGCCTTCAAGCCTCTCGCCTCTATTCCCGAGCTGGCCTCTTTAAGCGCCCAAGCCTTTTTGCCTCTATGGTCAAGCAAGCGGCAAGCGCCTCTAAAGCCTTTCAGTGCCTAAGCCTGTAATACTAAACAAACACAAAACAGGCCTCAGCTTGCAGGTGTAAAGGGGGCCCACAGTATAAAGAGGCTTAGGAGCGTCAAGAGTCTCTAAAGCGCACTGAGGAGATAGAGGAATATACGCATGCCATGCGGATTCTCATCTTGGAAGCCCATGCATTGTTGCAAAGACATTCATCAGTTGTTCAAAGAAGAGATGTCCAAACCTGAGCTGGTTGAGGACCAACAAGTCGAATGCTACAGCAGTGCACGGCTTGAAGCACGACTGGGATTGTTGTTGCCTGACTGCGCTTCATAATCACCGGAAATGTTGATGTTTTCTTGATGTTCCGACTGATTAGAACCTCGTGTTGGGCTCCATGAAAGGCAAGACCAGCTGATCGTTTTGGCGATGCTCTTGGGTTGTGACTACACCTTGGGAGTGCACGGTGTGGGCATCGTGAATGGGTTGTGGCCTCGGATGCTACGGGCCATTCAACACAGGTAGTGAGCTGCATTCCACAGGCAGGAGATGAAGGAGATCAAGAGAGAGGAGTAGAAGTCGTCGCTTGCTTGAGGTTGGAGATTGTCCGTGCCTATTCACCTGGCCGTGGCGCTGCCAATATTGAGGAGATTGCACTAAACATTTGTACGATCCGTTATGACAAGCTACTAGTAACAAAGGGCATCGCTACTAGGAGCAAGGACGCTACTAACTCCTGGCATTACTACTAGTAACAAGAATCTACTAGTGTGTATTTATACCCTTTCCGGCCGGTAGAGATGCCCTCCCCAATCGCGGTGCCTTGGCTCTTCAGGCCACCGGGGAAATTTAGTCAAGTCATGTTACGTTAGTAAATCAGAAAAAGGAACTACACTGGCCCTTAGCAAAGTGAAGCTGTCAGAACTGACAGCCTTCGCAGAAAGAAGACGTTGGGGGGTGTCTCGATTCGGAGGAAAGCCTGCCTTGCTGGCATGGAAGGGCTGTGAGTCTCAATCACTTATAATTCAGTATATGTGTCAAAAGCTTTTGAATGGTTGCCTGAGTTACTGCAGGAGTGGTTGAAACGCTTGGAGACCTTCCGCTCCTGGGCCCAGAACGTGGCCAATTGGGGCAAGGCTGGGTCTCCTGCCTCGAGGGAGTTTCAACTCCGCTCGTTTTCTGCCACTTACTTTGCGAAGGAATCAGCTGGAGTTCAAGATGATGACAGCCGAGCCATGGCAGAGTTCCGACCTTACACTCATCAATTGTTGTGTTGTTTTTGAGACGGTTAGTCGTTTGCGGGTGGAATGCAAGTTGCTTCTTTTATCCCCCTGTATATATATATATATATTTACACCCTGCGGGTTGTTCCGCCGGCCTTTTCAGCCAATGGTCCCAAGATGCGGATTACCTTTTGCGTCAAGAGGAAAGACAGCAACAGAGCAGAAAAAGTAACAGCATCATCCAGAACACAGCTGGAGCAACAGAGGAGCCTACATTGAAATGACGTGCATTATGATACAATAAGAGAACAGGGAGATGAAATTGGGGGATGCAAAGTATAGCCTGCCAAGCAAGAAGACAAATTATATGACATGTGACACAATGAGCAAACGTACATAGCATTCCGTCAGACATGATACAAGAGAGTAATGAGGACATGTGTGGCATGGGGATTTCCAAGCAGTCTGAGTCTGCAAAAATCGATAGTGCAGGTGCAAAGCCTGAGAAAAACGCATGCAAAGCAGAAGCACAATGCATGGACAACGGGAAGAGAAGAACGACGATAAGAAGGAAGCGCACACAACCTTTCACTTTAGCTATGATATATGTGAGCTACATACATTCGGGATGTTCTTGGGGGGGGGGGGAGTTAGACGAAGCAAAAACTTGCTCCAGAGACACTTTTCTCATTACATATAGATTCAACCTAACTTAAGCTACATACAAGCCACATTGATAAAACACGCCGGCGCCCAAGGGCCGGCGGATTCCCGTACGCCTACGAAATCCAATGTTGTCATCAAGGAAGTAGACACAGTGCTTCACCCCCAGCGTGGCCTTCAACATCCTTCAACTATTCGCAGGCCTCATTTTCTTTGCAAGCTTCATCTCTGCCGGCTTTACCTCCCCAATTTGTGGTTTTGCTTCTTTGCGGGCTGCACCATGTTGCCTTTGGCCGTTTGGATTAATAATATGAAATATGATATGTGGTATTTTACTGTTCGCTCGTGCCTGGTGTGTGCGTTCCCGGGTTGTACCATTAATGGGTTATGCTGTGTATAGTTATGACCTAGCACTCTAAGAAGAGTGGCGCTTCTGCAAGCAAGAAGTCTTTCTGCATTACCAAAGGAACATACTTAGATAAGGCCTTCATAAACGAAGACACTTGGCCCAAAAGATAGACCTTCAAAGAAGTAGACAAATCAAGATAATAGGACAGCTTTAAATGAACACGTGTTGGAGGATGGGACTCTTACAAGGAGCACACTCGACAGCCCTGTGCAATACACACGTGTCAGTCATACTCTGTTTTGGCCCCCCGCCCTTTGTTCTCAATCATAAATAATATTCAATAAATAGTCCCCGTAGTTACTCAAAGCTTGCAACAAACTATAATATATGTATATATATATACATATACTGTATAGTATCCCACACCACCACCTCCCAAAACTTGCAAAGCTCTGCTTGTAATGCAAATCAAACCCACCATCAGAACATGCAGTGCGAAAACCCCTCCCTGTCCTCGAGATCGCAGCAGCCGTGCAAGAATGGGACGCTATAAGTCAAAGAAGATCAAAGAAGTATTGAACTTCGGGAATTCTCACTTTTGCACTTGTCGACTTTTGTTCTTCTTTTGGATCTGGAAGAGGTCTGAGGCCACTGTGTTTGACTTTTCAGTTTTTTACTTTTAAATCTATCGGGGCGGTCTGGGTTTTTCTATATAAGTCTTCCTGGTTCCGGTCATGCGGGCCGATCTCGGTTTCTTCCATTCGCCTATTGCATTGCCCCAGGTTCAAAAGAAAGCATACCAACTTCCGAACGTCCGGCGACCAAATCTACTGACAAGGTACAGTGCAGGCTCGACAAAGCAAATCCACACATTGCAAGTGGTGTTGATCCGAATTCCAGCTGTAACTTGGTGAGCCCTGCTTTTGGATCTTGCTTGATTGAACAAGGCAGCATCAAATCAAGCAGTGGCTTCCACTCAGGCAGTGGTCCTTCCCAACAGATTTCCCGAGCGCTGCGGTGATGACTGCCTTCCAGCAGCCAGAGGTTCTGGGCTGAAAAATGTGTTTCGACAAAGCATCAAGGGACAGTGCCGGAGGTATGAATGAGCTGCTGACATGTGGCAATGAATCTCGGACATTTTAGGGAGTCTTTGCGACCTTAAGGTCAAGCGTTATTTAAGGGCTGCCCCTGCCAGCAGTGCAAACATTGTATTTTGACATGGCAGCGAGCCAATACAATTTAGGCAAGTCCATTTACTGGAATGTATGATTATACAATAATATATATATAGTTATATATATATGCATTATTACTATATGCATATATATAACTTGGGCTTTAGCTTTTGCTTGTGCCCGGTGGTGAGCTCAATGATTCAAAAGGCAATTCCGTGGGACAAAAACAAACACATACTTGGCTGTTTTTCCAGTGAGAGAGGTGCATGAGGGTGAGACATGGTGCGTCTTTGACACTTCTTTATTGGTCATGACAACACGGACTGGTCAGCAGCCACGGATTCTGGTAAGACGAAAGCACCACAAGACCAAATTTGCTACGAGTTGGAATGCTTCCTTTGTGCACAGGTCGATCGGAGCTTGGAGCCCTTCAGTTGGGCATCGGTGGATGTCCAGCGAGTCGTTGTAGGGATGCGCAGCCCGTGGGTTCTGGGAGAGTGAACAGAGTCGGCATGATGTGGATGACATAAGGATGCGTCGTTGAAATGTTTCTAATAGCTTCTTGTTACTACTAGTAAGGCACCTGTTACTACTAGTAAGGCACTTGTTCCTAATAGCTTTTTGTTACGAGTCGGCATGATGTGGATGACATGATGCAAATTTGAAGTTGCGTTTCCTTTGCATCCCTGGCACCTCAAAATGTAGAAGCATGGCAATCGAGACACTTTTCGGTGTCTTTCGGTCACTTTCCATTTCAAAAAGCTGTGGATGCTTGCCACAAGTTTGCGCTTGTAAGCGGATTTGATTCGCTGGGCCTGCCGCAGGAAACCCAATTGTCAGACATAAAACAACATTTTGGAAGTGCGGCACTTGCCACAGAAAGTAGGTGATGTTTGTAGAATGAGAGTCGCAGGAGTGTCAACTTCCGTTTGACATTGCCTTTCAGAAACACGATTTTGTAGAAGATTTCATGGGGCCGTGCTCAATCGACAAGACAGGATTCCTGGTCCAAATGAGAACCTGGACTTGGAAGGCTTCAGCATAGGGGTAGAATACCAAGCGTGACTAAGCGATACCAAATTGTGACCAAGCGATACCAAGCGTCCCTGAGGCGAAACTTCAAGCGGCAGACCTCTCAGAGGCAGGGTATATATGCATTATGAATATATATAGAGTCATCCCGGACTAGGTAGAATATGGTGGTAATGTTAAAGAACAATAGGGAACCGGTCATGTTTTTTGGAAAGACTCATATTCTATTTACTCCAGAATGGCTTGTATAAATGTATATAGTAATATCAAGGTACTATGGGCTATACGGTGACATAATGCTGGTCATGTTCACTGCGAAACAAGCTTATTGTGAACAGCATCACATGCGCTGATAGAGTGTTTCCGGCTCACACTCTTTGTTCGACTCATCGTGCTTGAGCCCCTGGCGAACCAGGAGAAGGTCCTGGAACGGCTGGAGCCTGTTTTGAGGCGTTATCAGGAGCCATGTAGCCCATTGAGGGAACTGCTTGGCGGTCCGCAAGTCTCTTTTTACTGCAAGGTTCGTTGGTTCGTTGCTAAGGATGCTCCTTAGAGCTCCAGAGCAAGTTGTAGTTGTTGGACCTGTGGGACACGGCAGCCTGGTTCTTCAGTTTCCAACCTCAGCCTTTCACGCAGGACACCCTGCGACAGCCGCGAATCACTGAGTACTTGCTACCTAGTGCTGGAGATGTTGCCGTGGTTCGGTCCAGCCGCATGCAAGAGGCGCCAGTGGGATAAGGAAAAAATGCAAGAGGTCCATCGCAAAGCCAGTAAGGTCCTGCGATGTCCTGAATAAGAATTGACTGGAAGATGCTCCATGATATTTTAAAAGAAGGAATGAAGAGTAATGAAGTAAGAAACAGTCTGAAGGTCTAACTGTCTAACTAAAGACAAAGTACCAGCAAAAGCCCCCTTCAAAAAAGCTAATTTCAATTTTCGGCCCACTCTTCCCCAAGAGGCTTTGCGCGGCTTGCGTGGCGAGTCGCCAGAGCAGGAGGAGTCAGGTGCAGCAAGCGGCTAGCTGTTTTGAGATCATACTAAGTTACTAGCGATGGCCTCCAACCTAAGAGCGAAAAGCTCAGCAGCTGGCACAGGGTTTCATGCAATTTCCATTCTTTGACTGGTGGATGTTTCGTTCTTTGTCCGTACGAGAATGGACTATATAAGTCGACATGTATAGATATATTATAGTTACTGTTTTTGTATGCGGTGGGTTTGCTCAGAAGGGTCACTTGTGAGAGGGAGATGATTGAAGCGGAATGTCCTGCCCCAATATCGAAGCGGTTGGAAGCATACCTGCCATCCAGAGCTTGGACCGACTGCGGCATCAGGTGTATCTTCCAAAGGGCCAAAGGGCCGACGCAAGGCGCCGGGAGAAGTCGAAGAGGAAACCAGAAATGCCAAGACAGTCATAACGATCGCAGGAATAGATGTAGGAATAGTGGATAGAGTTTGTCAAAGCTGGGTCCATCTTAAAGCAACGGTGCAAGCCAACAATCCTCACCTGGTTGACCTTCGGCTCAATACCCACTATTCCTCACAGCTATTGGCTGCAAGAAGGTCCTTTTCCAGCATTGCATTGCCCAATCAGACCAGGGACATCCGAGGACCGGTTCGATTGAAATGCTTAGCACCTGCAGATTAGACGGGCCATGGGTGGAAGTCAGGGTGGTGCTCGTGGGCGTGCACGTGGCCCGCGTGGCGGACGTGGTCGCCGGGGGCGCGAGGCCTGGGAGCTGCCAGGGCTGCACTGGGCAGGTTACCAAGTAAGGCTTCACGGGGATTAGTGATATGTTTCTTTACTTTGGTTCTTTCTGTTTTACGGTTTGCGCTCATTTTTGCTCCCTCTCTTATTTGTGCCACCGACAGCCGCCACGTCGCATTTTCTTCAGCAAAAATCAATGAGAGAAGAGCGATCATCGGCCAGTTTACATCTTTTGATGCATGATCATTTTTGGGCACATTGGGCCTTGAATCACGAGAAGCCCACGTAGGAACGAATTGATGTCTCCAATAGTCTGAAGAATGTCAGTTCAAGGCTGGCTTTGCCAACCTGAAGCCGGGGAATGATGTCTCTTGGCCCTGACTCATGACATCTCATGACTTCCTACTCTGCTGCCCGTGACATGTGAGATTTGGTGCATTTAGGCCTGGCTGATCAAACTTGGCCTTTGGCCGTCTCTAATTAACCCACCTAAGTGCAGGGAAGAAGCTTTTTGACGATGATTCGGCACTCAAATCCAGCCTCAAAAAACATACATTCCGTGAGAATGTTGGTTTGCACACCTCCAATTGGTCGTGCCATAGGAAGTTCCATTGCAATGGCACGTTAGTTTCACAAAACATGCCACAGCGGGCGCACCAAGGCCAGCATCGAGTTGGACAGTGGCAGCGATGCCTGAGTGCTGAAAAGTGAGAATGGAGATTCGTTTGGCAGGGTGTGACACTGAAAACATCCAGGTGTCTATTTGCAAAGCAGCTAGCCATACAGAGCCACTTGGTAAGTGGACAAACTTTTAGCAGCTTCAAGCGGCCCAGTCTCCAGACAGAGGAAACGAACCACCCAGGGAGGTGACTTGGGATTAATGCGCCTAATGCCTCCACAGCCTCCAATGCTGAACCATCTGACTTACTATCTGACTTTGGCACTACTCAATCTAGCAGAATCTTGCGGACGCAGGCAAAGTCCATCCATCTTGGAATGCCATACCTGGTGCCTCCTGCTCGTGGGCGTGCTTTGCTTTTCAGGCTGGCACAGCTCCGATGTTGTGTCGGCTTAGCCGAGCCCCTCAATCCAGCACCTCCACGGTGGGCCTCCAAATCTTCTTTGTTCTTTACGGTTCGCTGATGTAGACCTAGACATGACCTGAGCCTTGCTCGAAAAGGGGATTTACCAGGACACAATGCAAGAGACTAGACTTGACTAGTTGGACTTGCAAGACATCCATCTTTTCAGGACCAGGTGAACCAGGTCACATTTCGTTCTGGAAAATGAGACACCGATGCGGAGCCTCTCCAGTCACTCGAGGTCCTACACAACTGCTGGGGCTCATGACCCCACAGCACTTCATGGCTCCTGTGCTGCGGGGCAGGGGCTCCTCAGATCTCCAGATATCTCCACAGACTGTTTCGGCACATGTTGTTTCTCGAAAAGCATGTAGTTCTTCATCAAAACATGTGAGTGACGGGAGTCTCCGACCTTGTGCAGCGTCTGCACAAATGTTCCAGGGTGTTTAAAAATCTGTTTTGGACGACCACCAGGGTATAACAGGGTCAAAGGCCACTGCAAGGAGGCAAATATGTATGCAAACAGCCATCCATTTAGGCTCAAGCAAACGCTGACGACCCGAGGAAAAAACACCTGGCCTCACAAGCTGCATGAAGCCATTGCGAGCACATTTTCCAGCTGCATCATAGAGACATACGGCTCGCCCAAGAAAGGTCACATAGCTGGGCCATTCTTTTGGATGGTTGATTGTCAGCACATTGTTCCTATTTGTTTCGCAATAGGCTATATAAATATATAGGGTTTGGACATGTCAGGAACCCCGGAGGCCCTTGTGGCTGCTGAACCGTTGCCGAAATGCCATGGCAGATGAGGAGTTGCTGAACGCCAAAGTTATTTCACCAGCGGCACCCAGTGCATCCAGCGCGGGCGCACTGGCAGGGGGAGCTGCTGCAGTCAGCCCGAAGGGAAGAGCACCAAAACCAAAGGCCGCTGAGGTGCGGGAGAAGGACAGGGTGGCAGTGAACAATTCTGTTTAGAGAAAATCGCCAGTGCAAGACGGTTTGTGCAGGTTGGTTGAGTGGGTTACCGTCCTGTGGACGGCTGAGGCAACAGGACTATAGGCCTCACAGTGTGCTGAATCCAAGACTGGCCGATCGCAATCCAGACTGCTGTAGCTTTGCCGCGCTTCACTATAGCTCAAGCAGTTCCAGTCTTTAAGGATCCAATGTTTGTGCGTCCAGCGCAGTGACTTGACCCACTGTTGGGAAGTCCTATCCAACCCGCTCCCCTAATGGCGAGGCAACCAGCAAATACCAGCAATGCGACTAAGATCGAGCATAGCAATCTTCAGCCCTATCGTCCACATCCAACGTTCGCAGTCAGAGAGTATAGGAAGAGCTTGCAGCACGACGCAAGTTCCACATCAGTTTGGAGGCCATCGCTGTTTGGTTGCCTTCTGTTAGGGTGCCATCCACAAAAGAAACACAAAGAAGCTACACTTGGCGCCAGTCCGGGCCGTTTTGCATTGTCGTCCTTGGTTGTGACCGTTGGCACCCTTACACATATCCACCCACAGCTGCATCGGCATGGGAAATCGGCATTTGAGAGTGTGACATGTTGCAGTGCATCATCTCGCTGCTTTGCTTTACGAACGCTGTTTGGTGTCTCATTTTGTAAGCCCTACTGGGCCACCACCAGCCGCCAGCCTGCGCCTGGACATGAATCAAACAGCGTTCTCATAAGGGGAACTCAGAAGAGCAATTCACACGTCGCCTTGTCACCGCACTGCTGGTGTCAAGCAATGTCCGTTTTAACCTTCAAGGCTGAGACAAAGACCGGGAGACCCTCATCCAGAGATAAATCTTTAGGCCAAACATCGCTACTAGTAACAAGTGCATCGCTACTAGAAACAAGGGCCTTACTACTAGGAACAAGAAGCTACTAGGAAACAATAATAGAATTTAATTAGAATCTAATTAAATCTTTATTAGAATTGAATTAAACATGTCTTTTCAGAGTCAACTTGTCGGTTTACATATAGCTCCCGTTGCCAGAGTAGTATTGGCCCGAAGGCGTTCGATCTTCGATGTCAACATGGTAAAGGAACCTGTAGACTAGACATTGGATGCCATCGCTCTTAGGTTAGAGGCCACTGCTAGTAGGTTGGAGGCCATCGCTCTTCGGTTGGAGGCCACTGCTGGTAGGTTGGAGGCCGCCGCTCTTGCGTTGGAGCTGCTGCTAGTAGGTTGGAGGCCATCGCTCTTACGTTGGAGCTGCTGCTAGTAGGTTGGAGGCCATTGGAGGCCATCGTTCTTAATTGGAGGCCACTGCTAGCAGTTGGAGGCCATCGCTCTTAGGTTGGAGGCCACTGCTATAGGTTGGAGGCCAGCGCTCT